CTTCCATCTGCAGGTTTACTCCCCAGATGGCCGCAATGGCCAGTGCTGGGCCAGGCAAAAGCCAAGAGCCAGGAGTTCACATGGGCCATCTGGCACTTTCCCAGGTGCATTAACAGGGAGTTGGATCAGAAATGGAGCAGCCGGGAATTGAACCAGTGCCCATATGGGATGCTGATGTCATAGGTGGCCATTTTATCCTCAATGCCACAGCACTGGCCCCTCAGTGGCACCCACAGGAGCTCTTCCTTGAAGCTCTCACTGGCAGGGACCCTCCTGTTGACATCTGTGTCTTGTAATGGGGCACACCTACCTGAATGCAAATCCTCTCTTTTTCTCTGACTTCCTACTCAATCTCCTTGAGTTTCAGATCCCATATCCTTAAAATAGTAGTGACTTTTGCCTCGGGAGCTGTGATGAAGATGAAGTGGGCTGGCCCACATGAAGGGCTTAGCACAGTGCCTTGCACACGGTACAGGTCCTGTGTTTGCCATTCTTATTACTCATGTGAATGACAGTGCTCCTGGCTGGCGTGATGCCCGGCACACAGTAGGTCATGTAGCAAATACAAAACATTCATCTCTTTCCCCTTGCTACCCTGCTAGCTCCTGGAGGGCAAGGCCATACCCTTTTTACCTCCAGCCCTGCTGGCTGGGTTGTGCATGTAGTGACTCTCCATACATAGCTGCTGAATTGATGGTTCTCTAACGAAGTCCATCAACTCATAAGCAGTGACCTTCTATAAATGTCGTAAAGCAAAAGCAGCAAGACTCACCCTCTCAGTCAAGGACTTCTTTTCCAGTAGCTGCTGTGGGTTGGCTCTGTGTGGGACATTGCCCTGGGTTCCAGGACAAAGGCACAGGTTGAGTGTCTGCATTTGTGTCTGATTTTGGCAGTGGATCTGACCGCTGTTGTCTGGAAGAACGATGAGAACTCAGTTCCTTCCAACACATCTGTCCTTTGGAGGATTTGGCTTATCTGTGAGTGGAGGTGATGAGTAAGACATTCCTTGAGGGGGAGTCCTTGGCCTCCAAAGCTGTCCAGATCCAGGCACACCTGGATTCATTGTCCAGCTGCAGCTCTCTCTGGCTCTGTGACTTGGAGTAGATGACCAGAACTTGCTGGCCCTTGGCTACTCCAGAACATGGTCACCAGCCTGCTGGAACTGTTAGACAATCAAGCAGGGGCTGACGCTGTGGCACAGAAGGCCAAGCCTCTGCCTGCAGTGCCTGCATCCCATATCGGTGCCAGTTTGAGTCCGGGCTGCTCCACTTTCAATCCAGCTCTCTGCTAATGTGCCTGCAAAAGCAGTGGAAGATGGGGCAAGTGCTTGGGTCCCTGTGCCCACGTGGGAGACCCAGAAGAAGCTCCTGGCTCCTGGCTTCAGGTCAGCCCAGCTCTGGCCATTGCAGTCATTTGGGAAGTGAACCAGAGGATGGAAAATCTCTCTCTCTCTCTCTCTCTCTCTCTCTGCCTTTCAAATAAGTAAATAAATCTTTCTTTAAAAAAAATTTAGGCAAACATCATGATTACAAATACTGTCAGCGGGAAGCGCTCTACAGTACGAGTGACAGAAATATATTGAGACCTTGCTTTGGTGAGACTAAGCGTGTGATGAGCTAAGCACCATTAAGGAGGGGACTGAGATTATGCAGGGAAAGAGCTGAAGGGCACTGGTACCTGGAGCTCAGCGTGGCATTAACACGCATTTGTATTCCACTGTGGCCTGGTGTCTCTGGTTTCTCCACCTGGTGGCTCCCTCCGCCCCGCCCCTGTCCCTGCCTGCCCTGCCCTCCCGGCCCCTCACTCCTTCACCTCTTTCAAGTCTGCACCGGGCACTGCCTCCCGTCTTATCGTCTTATCTTTGCACAGCACCCCGCCCCTGCCCCAGCACAGGCTGCACTCCGCCCCTCCCCTCTGCTCCACTGCCCGTATCCCCGGGCATCTTGCCTACTCTTCGGTGGTTTTGTGTTGCATGCCCACCTCCGACCCCAGCCCCAGTGGAATGGGGCCCCAGGAAGGTGCGGGTGTTTTCATCAGTGCAAGTTTCCCAGCGCCCTGACGGGATGGAGCCAGACTTTCTATAAACGATCCGACAGAAAATCCTTCCTGCTTTACAGAGCAGAGGACCTTGTCACCACAACACAGCTTCGTCATTCCCAAAGGAAAGCTGCCGTGGACGTAGGGAATCACCCAAGCACGCCTACGTTCCAACAAAGCTTTCCTTAAGCAAGCAGTGAGGAGGCTGACTTTGGTCTGTGGGCCACCGCGAGCGAACGCCGGGCCCAGACCACTGCCAGGCACCCTGCAAATGCTCAGTGAATCCGCACCGAGTGCATTAACAAGTGGATAAATGAGTGGATGGGCGCACGCTCCCCAGTACAGTGCCTGGCACATGGCTGGTACTCAGTATATACATATTCTTTCCTACTTTGTACTCAGTAGATAGGACAAGATAGCTATGATGTATTGTGTTAGAGGCACAAAGAAAGTGCTGTGGCCATGCTTCCCCCTGGAAGAAGGCAGGACTTCGAGGGTGTCTGTCTTTTTGAGTTCTCTGGAGGAACAGAACCAATAGGACATGTGTATATGTGCATATGTGTGTGCATGTGTGTATGTATGTATTTGTGTGTGTATATGTGTGCATGTGCGCATGCCTGTATTTGTGTGCATGTGTGTGCATGTATGTATATGGATGTGTGTGCTTTAAGCAGTGTGGCTCATATGATTAGTGGGCTGGAGAGCCACTGAGAAGCCAAAGTGGACGCTCAAGTCCAGACTCAGTCTGTTGTGTTCAGGCCTTCAGCTGATGGGACGAAGCCCACCCACATTAGGGAGGGCATTGACTTCACTCCACTTCTGTGGACTTAAATGTTAATCTCACCCCCCACCTCCAGTAAAAGAAACACCCTCACAGGAACATAACGTTTAAAAATATCTGGGCACTGTGGCTGTCTTAGTTTATTTGTGATCCTATCATAAAATACCTGAGGCTGGGGGTAATTTATAAGGAGCATAAATCTATTTCTAGCAGTTTTGGAGGCCACAAAGTTCAAGATCAAGGCCGTGGCATTCCGTGTCTGGCGAGGGCTGCTCTCTGCATTCCCAAGTGCCCACCAGAAGCCAGGGCTGGGCCAGGCCAAAGCCAGGAGCTAGAATTCCATCCAGGTTTCTCATGTGGGTGGCAGAGATCCAAGCACTTGGGCCATCATCCACTGCCCCTGAGGCACATCAACAGGAAGCTGGATTAGAAGCAGAGCAGTTGGCACTCAAACCAGTCCTTGGATATGGGACAGCAGTGTCACAGACGGTGGCTTAACCCATTGCAGCCCCTTGACATGAGCTTGACAAATCCCTGCTTGTTGGGGCTCAGTTTTCTAGTGGTGTCATTGGGGAACTGGCCTGGGGCTGTGTTTGGCTGAGCTCTGGACCACAGGTCCTAGGGCTGCACACCTGGTCACAGCCTCAGTCCTGCAGACCTGTGTGGAGTTACCAGTTTGGGACCGAGGGACATCACTGATGTGAGTTTACTTCACTTAAACAACCTAAACTGGGGCCGTCCTGTATGCCAAGCACATTGCGGGGCCGCAGGCCTGAATCAGATATGCTTTGGGCTGAAAGAACATGGAATAAAGTGGGGGCAACAGACGTGCAGTTGTGGCCCAAAGAAGAGGAAGCAAATGCAATACCATGGGACAAAATACCCTGAGAGCCCTCGAGGCACAAAAGGGAGTGGTGATTAAGGAGAGGTGGGAAGATGTGGCGGCACTCCTGTAGGAGGCGCCTTTCAGCTGAGCACTGGGGACAGAAAAGGCAACAGCAGGTGTACAAAGGCACTGTGGTGAGGCAGTGTGGGAGCAGAGAGCAGGAGTGAAGTAACAGGGAGGGGGGGTGCTTTCAGGATGCCAGGGAGGAGGGCACAGCTCCTAGAGAGGCAACGGTGTGAACAGCAGCACAGATCCAGGCTGGACTGGCTCGAACCCTGGCTGTCCACACACTTAGCTGTCTTGTGCTCTGGGATTCGGTTTTCTAGCGTAAGAGAGGAGGGTGGCAGTGCTTACTATCCCGGGCTTGGAGAGAGTGGGAGGAGATTGCATGCGGTAAGTGCCTGGCCTTGGGGTGGCGCAGGGAACCGGGGTTCCTGGTTGCCTTTTGGGTTTTAGCTAACATGTGGACGCCTCTGAGAGAAACTGTCACGGTGTTTGTTCACTATTTCTCTGGTCAGCATGAAGGAGAGCATCAGAAGGGAAGTTTACTGATGGGGGGTGGGGCAGTTCAGGGAGAATCGCTTGGCCTTGGGGACAGGAAAGGCAAGGAGGAAAATGAACCAGGAGTCTGGGGAAACAGGGAAATTTTACCAAATTCCAAATTTTGCCAGAAAACTGCCTTAAATTCAGTTTTTTTTAAGATTTTTTTTATTTGAAAGGCAGAGCCATAAAGAGAGGGAAAGAGATCTTCCATCCTCCGGTTTGCTTCCCTCCTCTGGCTGCAATGGCTGCGGCTGGGCCAGACTCTATCCAGGTCTCCCACATGGGTGCAGGGACCCAAGCACTCAGGCCATCGTCTGCTGCGTTCCCAGGCACATTAGCAGGGAGCTGGATTGGAAATGGAGCAGCTAGGATTCGAAATGGCATCCATATGGGATGCTGGCATTGCAGGCTGTGGGTTGACCCAGTGCGCCACAACGCCAGCCCCAAATCCAGTTCTTCTATTTCAAGAACAGGGAGGTTCATAGGTCAAGGTCAGGTAGAGAATGGATGGAGTTGGGGGGCAGAAGTGGAGAGGGTTGTGTGTGCTGCCCCTCCCTGTGTGTGGGCCCCAACCAACCAGAGAGGCAAGCCACCCTGAGCAGTGAGGTGGAATCTGGGGTCTCTGGGTGGGTGGGCTCACTGTCCAGATCTCAGAGGTACCGCAATGCCACTAATAGAGCACCATCCCAGCGACTGGCATGTGTCATGGCCCATGTGACAAGGGACATGGACCTTTAACCCAGAAACACTTCGTGCTTTTCTGCTGGCCAGTTTATTAGTATTTTTCCAAACCTGAAAAATGCTGAAACAAGTTTGAGGTCTGTGGTAGGGAGCCCGGGAAGGGTAGCTCCAGGCAAGCCACTGTCCATGCACCACTCTGGAGGGTGGAGGTAGGGGAGCTCCGAGGCACTGCACTTCAGTCTTTCATCCAGCAACCGAGACGTGTGTGATGCAGCGCCAGCGTGCTGGCCTGGCCTCGGCCACGTCTGAGGGCCAGGGATATGAGCAAAGCATGCAGCTTAAGTCTCCGGAGAAGGAAACGATGCCGAAGCCATGCTAAGCCACTGAGGGGGTCTTGGCGTTGTGGTCATGTCTCTGGCCAGGCCTCAGCCTGGAGCTTTGCCTTCTATCAGCTCTCGAGGGTAGGGCCATGGAATCTGAGAGGCACCAGAGTCTGACGTGAAAGATGCCACCGCTGTGATTCCAACAATGCACAGTGTCAACGTTTTCTTCACTGTCTTGCAGAAGGTTCAAGAACAGGAGCAGATGGCACTTCCTAATGGGCGGGGCCCCAGCTTCCCCCACGGACAGGGAAGCCAGGGAAGGTTTTCTGGCGGGGCTCCCGTTCAGAGAGCCCAGGTGCGGCCCGTGGAAGGTGGGCAGCGAGGCGGGAAAAGCCCTGGGCGCCCAGGCAGAGGTGTAGCTCACCCCGCCACCCGTGAGCTCCCTCGGCAGGACCAGAAACCACTCACCGCCTTACAGGGGTTTTATTCTAAGGATAGAGGGCTTCTGGTGGACCTTGAGACGGAAACTCGGGCCTCGGACTGCGCACAGGGACGAGGAAACCGCCACAACGGAAGCAGCTCCTTTACTTGTCTTGGAAAACTCTTGGAAGCGCTGCTCTTGTCCCTTGGTCTGCAGGTTCCCGCTGCTCGGCCACGTGCGTCTCTGCCCTCCTCCACGCTCCTCATCGGGGTCCTCGAAACTAACTGCCCGAGGCAGAATCTGATTGGCTCCGTTCACCTTGGCGCCAGTCGATGGCAGGGCGGTTCCGTCGTGAGCGCCAGGCCCTGGCCCGAATCGTCTGCGGATGGGGCAGGGCTCACCGACTCACCAGGAGCAGGACCGGCGGCCCCGCGGCGCCCCGACAGCTTCCCCCTCGCGCTCCATGGTCTCGAAGAGGAGGCGCACGAGCGCAGGCCGCCCCTGCGCCACCAAGGCCCGCGCCAGCCCCAGCACCTCGTGGGTGTGGCCGCGCCACACGCGCTGCAGCTCCTGGCGCAGGCGCGCCGCGGGGTACTTGCCCTGGGCGCGGCGCAGCCAGGCGTCCACCTCGCGGCCCAGCTCGGCGTCGCTCAGCTGCGCCTGGCTCCACTGCGCCAGCAGCGCCTCGAGCAGGCAGCCGAAGCCCTCGGTGTGGCAGGAGCCCGCGTCGTCCAGCTCCACGGCGCGCTTGAAGCAGGCCGCCGCGTTGGCCTCCTCGCCCTTGATGCGCAGGCACTTGCCACGGAGCAGCTGCAGCTCGGGCAGTGAGGCGCCCAGCTCCGACTCGCCGGCCTTGGCCAGGAAGACCAGCGCCTGGTTCAGCGCCGCCTCGTCCACGGCCAGCAGCTCCTGCACGGCGTCCACGCCCATGTAGTAGTAGACCTGCAGTGGGCACGGTGGGCTGAGCTCGCCTTCGCGCGCGCGACCCGGGCCGTTCCCTCGTCCCCTCTCCCCTACCCCACTCTAAGCCGCGTGTAACCTTGAGCCAGTCCCTCTCTGGAACTCACTTTTCTCATACGTAAAATTATGATATTGTCACCTCTGGGCACTTCGAGATTAAAATAACAGCAATAATAATGGGTCATATTGAGGCTTAGAAAGAGGCAGGATTCACGCCCTGCTCTGAATCCATTCTCATTCAGTCCTTGTCCTGGCTGGAGGAGATGGTTACCGTTACCAGGCAGGGGCATGCCCTCCTCTGTCCACAGTGCCCAGGAGCAGCCTGGCAGGAGAGAGTAGGCTCTTAGTAAGCCACCGGCTGCCCAAGTCTCAGGATGCCTTACCTGGCCAATGTCCAGGTAGGTCTTGAGGCCTGGACACACCTTGACCACTTCCTCCAGGTCAGCCTTGGCACAGGCCAGGTGGTTCCTGTCGGGCACGCCCCCGAGCCCCGCCTTGGCCCGCTCCAGTTCCTGCAGGTAGGCTCTGATGTGGATCTGTGGACAGAGTGAGCTCAGGGAAAGTGCCCCCCACAAGGGCCTCTGCCACGCCCTGCCCCCACCTCTTCCCCCCAACCCCCACCACCACCACCATGAAGCCGGCCTGTCTGTCTCTCGGCATCAACCAGGGTGTGTGGCGAGCAGGGATTCCCTGAGGTGGCAGCCAGGAGGCCGAGGTCCTGCTCTAGTGCCGACTTGGGTAAGCTGCTTGCTCTTTCTGGGCCTCAGTTTCCCTGGGTGTACGCTGCGGGGGCTGGGATGAAGGGAGAGCTCCTTCATCCACTCATTCATTCGACAAATGCTGAGTACTGAGTGCCCCCCCTCCCCCCGGCCACGCAACCTGTGGGAACCTCATAAAAAGAAAAAAAAAAAAAAAAAAAAAAAAAAACCCGGTCACTAATGTCTTCCTTGAGGGAATTCCTGTGGGGACTGGGAGCGTCTGGCAGGTGCTGTGTTCCTCCCTGCACCCAGCAAGCATTCCGCAAGGGGTGCTGTGTGCCTGGGCGGTCTCCTTCCAGAGGGTGCAGAAGAGAGCAAAGTGACAGCCCCCTGCTCCTGGAGCTTCTGTTTGAGTTGGGGAGGGAGAAGATGGACAGGGAGAGTGGGCAAAGAGTGAGGGAGGGTTGGGGAGTGACAGTGCCCAGGAGAGGAGGAGGACAGAGAGCGCGGGTGAGGGGCTCACGTAGCCAGGACGGATTCTGGAAGCAGAGTGTTCATTCCAGAGGGAGGCCCAGGCCGTGGGGCTGGCATGCAGTGAGTGGGGCGGGAGCCCGGGGCAGGGGGCGGAGAGGTTGTGGAGCCCTGTCCTGGCTTATGGGTCCCCGCAAGGACAGAGACTTCTGCATGTAGAGCCTGCAGGGGCCCTTCCCTTCTGTTCCTGCCTTGCTGGTGCCCTGTCCTTTGGAGCCACAAGGAAGCAGCGAGCCTGTGACGCCAGGTGATGGGGGAGTGAGGAAAGTTAAGACTGTCATTCCTGCTGCCCAGACGCAGGACCTCAGGGAGGGCCACTGCCTCCCGGCGCCCGCGTGTAGAACAGCGCGTGCCTGGCCTCGCTCAGCGGGATTCCACGAGAATCGACTCCAACCATGAGCATGCTTGGCGAAGTGCAGAATTTTAAAGAAATGTGGTGTTATTCACTACTCGATGGCGGCCATCATTATTGATAATAATAACCACATCAGCTACAGCGAAGGAGTCTCCTGCCTGGTACCTGCTGGCGAGGAATTAAGCCGTTGAAACCAAGACCAGGAGCAGATTTGCTACCAGCTGGTGGCAAAGGTAGTGGAGAGTGGGGAGTGGATGTGTGGAGGGGATGGGCTGAATGTCTTGGACCAAAAGTCGGGGCTCCAGGCCTCTGTCCCCAAGCAGCTGGGCTCTGTGGAGGCTGCGGAGGGCAGATCTGGGATGGGGCGGCGCTCACCTAAATGTGCAACTGGCAGAACTGAATGACAGGGCAGTGGGGGCCTCAAGGGGCAGTGACTTAGTCACAGCTAGAGCCAATGATAGCAGTCAGGTGCTTAGGAGCTCGTCCTATGTGCTCTGCACTGAGCTTTCCAGGAAGAAAAACTGATGTAATCCTGACACCTTTCTAAGGTGGGCGCTCTCATCTCTGGTCTAAAAGGAAAACACCGAGCCTCCGAAATTGGGCAGTAGTATTTTGCATGCAGTGGTGAGGCAGGATGTGAGCCCAGGCTGTCTGTGAACTGCCTCAGGTAGGCTCCGCTGCCTGCCGAGGGCACCTCCTATGCTCCAGGCACTGGGCGTTAGCTGCCGCTTCATCGGTGTTACTGTCCCAGGCTTACGGACTCAGGAACTGAGGTTTGGACAGGGACAGGCTTGCCACAGGCCCCATGACAGTAGGTGCAGAGGCCAGATTTCAACTCCAGTCAGTGTGACTGCACCGGGCTAATCTGGAGGGGGCTGCAGGCTCCCAGAGCAGGATGGGATTCCTGCGGTGGGGGGAGATGCCACCCTTCCCTCCCTCCACAACCCTGCAGAACACCTGCGCCCGGATGGTGCCTGGTGCCCAGGATGCATGGGCTCTGGCAGCAGACCTGTGCCGCAGCCTTTGTTCTTGGATCCCCAAAGGCAGGGGGAGGCAGGGCTGCAGGGCGACCCACCTTGGCCCTTGTGCAGTACGCCTGCCAGTTGAGCTCTGGGTCTCCTAGCACATCCAGGGCCATGTTACAGGTGCCAATGGCCATATCCGGCTTTCCCAGGAAGTGGAAGATTTTGGCCAGACGGTTCAGGATGGGCGGCCGGTCCTTGGCAATCTCAATGGCCTAGGTGAGGGAGGAGGGTGAGAGCAGACGGTTTGGTTGTGAAGCAGAACCAGCCAACTCGCGCTGCATCACCACAGCACTCTTGCCCCCAGTCTGCCCCATCCCCTCCAGCTGGCGAGTTCAGCCACACCAGGAAACCAACCTTTCAGACCACGACCCTCGGGAGCCTGACTCACTGCCAAGCTCTCTGCAAGGTCCACTGGTTGTGGCCAGCACAAGACCCTCTTGCAGAGCCCAGGAAGACCCCTCCTGTCCAGTATGTGTGCCCCATTTTCCTGGGGCAGGGGAGAGGAGGGGCCAGCGTCAGCCTCCACCTCCCCTGCATGTAGCTCATGGGCAGTGGCTGCTGCCTGTTCTCAGAGACTTGCCTGGGGACCTTCCGGCCACGGCGGGCAACCCCCTGTTGCGGGGGGAGGGTGTGAACCAAGGAGGGTGGGACGGCACTGGCCAGCTTGGGCCTGGAGAGGGTCTTGGTCTAAGTAAGCAAGGAGGAGTGTGCCCTGGCAGCACTGGGTGTGGTGTGAAGAGAGGATGGTGGGGGGCAAGGCCCGGAGAAGCACTGGGCTCTGGGCAGAAGGGCTGGCGCCCAGGGTGCTCCCCCCTCAGCGTGCAGATGGGAGTGGCGGGGCGCGCACCTTGCTGAAGCAGTCCAGGGGCTCAGTCCCCGAGTACCCGCAGTCATGGACACCCATGGGGGTGGTGGAGAAGGTGTCCTTCCTCTCCAGCAGCATTCCGAGGTAGCACCAGGCCAGAGCTAGGAGGAAGAAACAGGGACCAGGGTAGGGACACTGTGCCAGAGGGGGTGCAACGCCAGTGGCAGGCGGAGCGATGGATCGCGGGGCAGGGAGGAAAGGCAGAGGCCGCCCGCAAGGGCCCTACCTCTGTGTTGGGGGTCCGAGGACTTGAGGACCTGCCGGAGCAGAGCCAGTGTGCGGTTGAAGGCAGGCAGCCTCTTCTGCTCCTCGGTGCCCAGCTCCAGGAAGATGCCGTCCAGCCTGTGGCCGCCAAGGGGAGGATGGGGCTGTCGGCACCTGCTCCCTGCCCTCCCTGGAGCCCAGGGCAAGGACTGGTGCCTTGGGAAGCCCTTTGGTGGGATGGGCTGAGCCACTGCTGCCCGCCCCTCCTCCCACCCACCTCCTGCCTGGGTGCCAGGCCACACCCCCTCCCGCCGGTGCCCCCACCCCCTCTGGGTCTAACCTGATGAAGAGTGTCGCCATGGTGAAGTACCAGCCCCTTTTCTCCTCCACAGGGACCTGGGGGAGCAAAGGCCAGCCTGCTGCTGTACGGTGGGGGGGGGGGCATGGTGCATGCGGCCCTGACTCTCACACACTGCCTCACACACCCTTGATTGCAGTCCTGGCTCTGACAGTGGCAGGCTGGACAGCCCTGGGCAAGTGACTACACTCTCTGAGCACAGGGTGAGGGACGGGACAAGCTGTGTGAATGCCCAGCACAGAGCAGGTGTGGGAGATGCTTCCTGGCTCCCCGCACCCACACTCTGGTCCCCACCCCACCCCTGCCTCAGCCCGGCCCAGCCCTGCAGGGCCCACCCTCCTCTGGCTGCCTCCCCAGGGAAGCCCCTCGGGGCATGTGAAGTGAGTCCCAGGCGAGCCGGGACCCCCTGCACTGCTTTCTCATTGCTATTCCTGCCAGCCTCGCCATGCATTTAGACCGACTTGGGCAGCGAATAAAATATTTATGCCATTATTTATGGGAGTAGCTGCTTCTGCCTCAGGAAGGAATTTTAATGAAAACCAATAAAACCCCCCAGTGCACATCAGCAGCTCTGCCTCGGGCCCCAGCCCCTCCTCTGCACTCATCTCCTGTTGCTGATCTCAGCTCTGCTACTCACCAGCCTCCCCTGCGGCCACACACACACACACACACACACCCGCCCCTCTACCCTCCACTCTCCCCCGAGCAGCAGCCTGTGGTGGGCGGCCCTCGGTTGGGATGTGGCATGGAACAGCACCTGCACCCTGACCCAGACAGGTTCCCAAGCTGGCTAGGGAAGTGACCCAGGCATAAGTCATAGGACTTGGCCATGTGCCTGCTGTGGGCAGGCTCCTGACACCTTCCTTTGTCTAAGTCTCCCAGCACACCTAGGAGGGAACTGTTAGCCCCATTTTGCAGATGAGCAAATTGAGACAGAGAGAGAAAGAGAGTGAATTGCCTAAAGTCACATAGCCCGAGATGGTCAGAGCTGGGACTCCAAGCCTGTTTGTGGAGCTCCAGAGTCCATGCTCCCTTCGCCACGCCAGGTCACCAGTGACTGTAGTGTGACCGAAGTCGGTCAAGGCCAAGAGGACGACGCAGACACAGTGCAGCAGGGCGGACAGGCCTCTCCTGGCCAGAGAACGGAGGGTAAAGGTACAGCGGCATTTCTGAGGGTGGGACTGGGGACCCAGGCCTCTCCGGTGGAGGCTGGGCCTGAGCAGAGGTGCAGGAAGTGAGGAGAGAGGCACACGGGTGAGCATGGAGCACAGGATGTGTGAGTGGGACGGGGGAGCCACGCTGGCCAGCCCTAGGCTGTGGCTGCAGCTGCTCTAGGGAGCCTTGGGATGAACTTGGAGGGAGGAGAAGAGGTGGGGGATCCCACTGGGAAGGGTGACTGCCTAGACTCCCCAGGGGAGGCCCGGAGACGGCATCTCCCAGCGTGTGTGTGGCTGCAGGCTGCAGATGAGGCCAGGAGAGCAACGGCGGGCCCCACCTCAGGGGAGTCCCCCCATCTCGCAGGCTGTGGGGACCCAGGGGAGGGGTCTATGTAACCTAGGAGGGTCCCGAGGCTTCCTGGAGAAGAAAGCCCTAGAGCAGGGTCCTCAAGGAGGAGCAGGCCTCAGCCAGGGGGCCCTGGGAGGACAGGCACCGCGGCAGCATGCGGCATCAGGTGCAGGAGCCCAGGGAGCCCGTGAGGCTCTGCACGCGGCCCTGCAGCCTGGGCCCAGTGGCAAGGGGAGGAAGAGGCAGCAAGGGCACATTAGGATGGCCCCTGGGGGCCAGACTGCAGGCTTGGAGCTCATGGGCAGGGCAGTGGGGAGCCATGGAAGGAGTTAGAGCTGTGGCATGCCAGGATCCAAGGCTTTTCATACTCATCCCTGTAAAGGACCCGCCTGTGACTTAGGTGCGAATCTGTATATTGGGGCTTTAGGTGGCAATGGGTTGTTGGGAAAAGAGAGGGGCATCCCTGAGAAGTGGGGGTCATTTCCCATCCAAAAGGCAGGGATAGGGCCGGCACCGTGGCTCAATAGGCTAATCCTCTGCCTAGTGGCGCTGGCACACCGGGTTCTAGTCCTGATCGGGGCACCGGATTCTGTCCTGGTTGTTCCTGTTCCAGGCCAGCTCTCTGCTATAGCCTGGGAGTGCAGTGGAGGATGGCCCAAGTCCTTGGGCCCTGTACCCCATGGGAGACCAGGAGAAGCACCTGGCTCCTGGCTTTGGATCAGCGCGATGCGCCAGCCGCAGCACGCCGGCCACGCCAGCCACTGGAGGGTGAACCAACGGCAAAAAGGAAGACCTTTCTCTCTCTCTCTCTCTCTCACTGTCCACTCTGCCTGTCAAAAAAAAAAAAAAGAAGGCAAGGGTTGGATGCCGGATCAACTCCTACAGGGCCTGGGAAGGGAAAAGAAAACTTGGATCCATGGGGCCCCTTCCGTGGGCCAGGCTGGCCAAAGCTGTAGTAGTGCGAAGATCTGACCACTAGGGGCCCAAAGGCGTGGGGTACTTCAGGCTGCCTGGCTGCATGTCTGTGGGACCCCAAGGCCTCTGGCCCCAGGCCTGCAGGGAGCTTGGCTCACACAGAGCCTGCTCCTGACGAGGGGGTGTGGCCACAAGCAAGAGCGAGTATAGAGCACAGAGCAGGGCCTGGGGTCCCACAGGCCTGGCTGGATGAGGGACAACCCTTGGCCTTTGTGGTCATTTGGGGAGTGGGCCAGCAGATGGGAGATCTCTCTCTCACTCTCTCTCTTTCTGACTTTTGAATAAATAAATAATATCTTTAAAAAAAAATAAGTTTAGTCTCCAGTCACATTCCAGGTGAGAGTGACAGGCACAGCAGGGCTTGTGGGATTCAGAGGGGTCAGTAGCCTCCCTGTGCCTGGGTTCGAGTCCGGCGCAGGCTGTTGGCTCTGCTCGGCAATTCTGGCCCCCAAGTGGGCTGTCTAATAGAAATTCTTCTGGTTGGAAGGGAAGCAGCTGTGGGAGCTGTTACCAGGGGCAACGTGTTGCGCTGTGGTACAGTTAAAGGAAATTCAACAGGCCCCTGGCTGCCCCGCCTCTCACGGAGAAGGCTGGAGGCTGCTCTGCTCTCTCCTGGACAAGAAGGTTCCCAGAGAAGAAAGCTTTTAGCATGCAAGGAATTCTGTTGCAGGGTTTACGACTCCCATCTTGGGTGGGCGCTGTGCAGGACGCCCCACTCCTGCCCCAGTTTGGTCCTTGCCACAGTGCGTGAGCTGGGGAGCCCGTGGCCTATGAGAGGGGCCGCCCGGCCTGGGAGCCATGGCTTCTGGCTGGAGAGGGGCCCGATTAGGTTGCTGCTCCGTGACAGATTCATGGGATGGGCCTGGACGACCCCTGCAGGCCCTCAAGTGAGATCCGCAGAGCCGGGTTCTGGCTGACGGTGACAGCCAGGGACAGAGCCCTGGCGAGGGGTTCTGAGGTGCTCCCCGCTCCGCTGGGGCCTAGCGATTGTTGTCTTCGTTGTACAGAGGGGAAACTGAGGCAGAGAGAAGCAGAGACTTGCTGACTTAACCTGACCGTTCAGGCCAGGTCGCTCTGATTTTAAGTTCCTGTTCCTTCCACAACATCCGGGTACAGAGAGTGCTCATCGTTTGCCACGGCCTTTCACCCAGATCCCACCTGAACTCAGCGCATCCTTGAAGTGGGCATCACTGCCCGTGGAGTGCAGACGGGAAAGCTAAGACAGGATGGTTCCTCCGTCACAGGGCCAGTGTGCAGGCCTGGACTGCAGCCTGGAGCCGGTGTTCTCCTCGCCCCACTACTAACCCCACATTTTATGGAGCACTTGCTGTGTACAGGCACAGTGTCTTATCTGTCTTAGCCCATCTGACTCTCTCAAGAGTTGCCTATGAGGTAGAGGGTGCTATTGAGGCAAGTTACAGAGGAGGTAATGGTGGCACAGAGTGGTTGGGCACGGGGCCCAGAGTGGCACAGATGGAAGACGGCAGAGCCTGGAAGAGAGGATCCCTGCCCCTGACCCCTGTAGACCCAGTGGTTCTCCAAGTGGGGCTCCCAGGCCAGCAGCGGCGGCATCACGTGGGGACCGGATACAAAGGCGATTTCCTGACCTGCTGAGCCTGGCCCAGCCCTCTACTGCACGCTGAAGTCCCAGAACCACGATTCTGCACTCTCGCTGTGTCACACTGTGAGGAGTGGAGCAAAGCGGGCAGGCAGATCTGGTTCTTCTAAGAGCCACACACCACAGTCCTCAGGGACCCCGGCTCCTGCAATCTGGCAGAACGGCAGGAGGACGCGGGTGAGGCCGGTACCAGGGCAGGTGAGGGGCTGAGGCGGCCCCAGGCAAGGCGGGGCTCCTCTGTGTTGAGAAGTTTCAGCAGAAACTTCCTTCCCGACGCAGCTTCAGCGGCTCAGCCATCGGCCGTGCAGCTGAGCAGGCTGGACAGGGCCCTGTAAGTCTTTAAGGAAAACATTTGCCTTGCAATGTGAACTTTGCCCTTGGAGACCACTGGGCTCTGCTCCACGTTCCAGCCAGTTCCCAAGGGCTGGGGGGATGCGTAAGAGGAGGCCAGAGAGACATTGTCACAGTGCACTGGTGGGCACAGGGCTCGCACCACAGCCTTCAGAGCCACAGCGCCTCCTCCTCCTGCTGTGCCGGGCCAGGGAACAGAGAGAAGCCACCAGCCCAGGGCAGAGGTGCCAGGATTCAAGTTTGGATCTGCCGCCCTCCCACGCCCTTTTCCTCCATCTCATCACTGGGCCCCGGTAAGGGCTGACGTGGCAAAAAAGCAAGTCCTCTGGTGGCAGCCTTAGGAATTCATCCTGCCTGCATGACAGGAATGTTCCTTGTGCGCCCAGCACAGGAGGCCCTCTCTGCTCCTGCCCTGCATGCTGCCAGGCTGGGCACATCCAAGCTCACGTTCCCGCCGTCCGGGTGTGCAGTGTGGACACAGGGCTGGGGTCCCAGAGACGTCCCTGGCTCAGCTTCTGCATCTACCCACAGACAATCCCGTGAGACCAACTTGTGCCACAGGCTTGCTGGAGAGGGCGGAGGGGATTT